GGGGGGGGGGGGGATTATTTTTTAATGCCCTTAGCAACAGTTGTCGGTCCTGGTTTGTTCATTGTTGCCATCCCCCATAACGATAACATAAAAATTCCCTGCCCAACAACAAGTAGAATTGATTCTGTACACTCGGGTCTTTCTTGGGAATCGTATGGTGCATTGCCCGTTTGGTCTTTTCTCGCCTTCTTCAAATGACCCCCCCCCATATCCCCCCCCATCAACCCCCCCCCCCAATACGCTGTTACATCAGGGATGTGACGTCCGATATTATAAAAAAAAGAAAAGGGGGGTGGGGGGGGACGGGGAAATCATGCTCCGGTTTGTGACGTCATGCGACAAAATCTGTTTTTCTAAATAATTAGATTTGACGCAACCAATATTTTCGAATACTTCCCGATGCTATGAATAGACTTATAAAATGTGTAGGCCTACAGATAGCTCCGAGTCAGGACAAGCGTCTCGACTCCATTTCAATAACTCTGTGACTCTGTGACTCTGTGACTCTGTGACTCTGTGACTCTGTGTCTCTGTGACTCTGTGACTCTGTGTCTCTGTGACTCTGTGACTCTGTGACTCTGTGACTCTGTGACTCTGTGACTCTGTGACTCTGTGACTCTGTGACTCTGTGACTCTGTGACTCTGTGTCTCTGTGACTCTGTGACTCTGTGACTCTGTGACTCTGTGACTCTGTGACTCTGTGACTCTGTGACTCTGTGACTCTGTGACTCTGTGACTCTGTGACTCTGTGACTCTGTGACTCTGTGACTCTGTGTTAGGGTTTGTTCTTCCGGGGATGTTGTTTTATGATTGAGCTTATTTTGGTTTGTATTTGGAATACTCGGTTTGGTCATGGGTTGTGTGAATGAGTGGTATTTCTGACGGGTAAGCCGTGGTCATGAGTTGTGTGAATGAGTGGTATTTCTGACGGGTAAGCCGTGGTCATGAGTTGTGTGAATGAGTGGTATTTCTGACGGGTAAGCTAAAAAAAAAAAAAAAAAAAAAAAAAAAAAAAAAAAAAAAAAAAAAAAAAAAAAAAAAAACAAAAAAAAAAAAAAAAAAAAAAAAAAAGAACCAACTAACATTTACCATTAGCCTTATCAAATCTTTGAATCAATTGTCAAAGGTTTTGGTTTACTCAGTCTCAAGTCATATGCAGGGCCGTCTTAAGAACATAGGGGGCCCTGGACACAGCAATGCACCTCACTCTCCCAAACTCACTTTTCCCTACCTCACTCTCCTAAACTCACTTTCCCCCTCACCTCACTCTCCTCACCCTCCCCAATTCACTTTTCCCCACCTCACTATACCCACCTAACTTTTTCCACCTCACTTTCCCCATCTTACCCTCCCACCTCACCCTCCCCACCTCACTCTCCCCCACTCACCCTCCCCACCTCACTCTCCCCCACTCACCCTTCCCACATCACTTGTCCCCACCTCACTTTCCCCACGTCACTCTCTCTCCACCTCACCCTCTTAACCTCACTTTTCCCCACCTCACCCTCCCACCTCAACCTCCCACCTCACTATCCCCACCTCACCCTCCCCACCTCACCCCTCACCCACATTCGCTTTCCCCCAGCATCAACTCTAAAAACCACAAAGGTGTTGCCTCGCCGTCACTACAACCCACCGCTTGCCTCCTGCAGCTCTTCACGCTAGCCGCCTGTCAGCTGTAACATCCTGGTCCCTGGGGGCCGCCAACTGCAGAGACTTTTTTGCTCTACAAAATGTCACCTCGAGTTATCCGCCAAGTCAACCGAATTTACCCCCCCCCCCCATTGTCATAAAACGCTTTCAGGCTTTCCATACGAAAACACATTACTTTGGGGTAAAAAAAAAAAAAAAAAAATATAAATACCAGTTAAAAATCTTTGGCTAACGCCCGGTTTTTTTATGTTAAGAAAATATGAGAGGATAATGGGAGGGTGTTAGAAAAGCTATAAACGACAATCGGATAGATTTTCTGGCCATGTTGATTGATGGGACGATAGGGCTCTCTTTCTTTCGACGGATGGAATATGGGGGGGGGGGGGCGGGACTGAACTCTTCACACGATGGGGGGGGGAGTTTTTTTTTTTTAAAGGGA